GGACTAGGTGCGTTCCTCTAAGTCTTCCTACCAATATCACCAAGTTGCGAAAACAAGGTCAAACAACTTCCTTACATCATATTATTTAACCATATTTATTTATAAACATACGCAGTCTCGGTCACGGCATTTTCTTAAGTCATTAAGCCTTGATGACCTGAGTCTGACATTAGCCGTTTTGATCACTCTGATTAATGACCGGTATTGTGAATAGGCGTTAGCACATAGGCACACACACGCGCGAGTGCAAGTAGATGGACCAACACGAAAGATAATTAGCCAAACCATTCTACATCTATATATACATTTTTATTTTATTTTGCCTGATCAACTCCATATAAGAAGTAAGATAGAGCCAGATAGTCTTCTTGACATTGTATTAACGTAAGAATTTACCAGAATGAGTTCCAGTTGTGATGATGTCCATCAGTATTATGGATCAAAACCCAGTCCATTTTCAACCGAAAAGAGGGAGGTCTCGTAGACTGCGTCAACCTGAACGTTGTATTAAAGCCGCAGTCGCAGTACGAGATTCAGCCGTCGTCTTCTGGTAAGATCGACCTTCAAATCCCTTCTCAATGAACTTTAAGAAATGAAAATCTCTTCAACATTTTTTTCGTGAGTCAGTAGGTTTTCGAGACTACCAGTAAATCAAATTGTTGTGTTCCTAAGAAGGACGTGGACTGTTCCTAAAATATAAAACGCTTGTCCTCTACAACTCCAAAGCTAGATGCCCCGAAACGAAGAGAGAAAAAGAACAAATAGTTACAAATCGTCCTATTTTGAAACAACAGAATATAATTTGGGGGAGCTGAAAATATAGACAATAATTTAAATATGGCGCTACGTAGAACATTCTAAACCCCGCGAGTCATGGCGGAGCGGATAAAGAGGAAGAACAAAAAACAAACATTGAATGGGAAAAGTGTGGGGATAGGTCACTACAAATTATTTTCACTCTATTTATTTAATGTTATGAAGGACTGGTGGTTGTCTTTTCCCACAATCATATGAGTAGAGCTCACGTTTCCAAAAGTTGTTCTCATCAAGGATGGAATGCAATCTTGACCTCGCAAAGTTCTTATCAATACCAAAAGCGGGAGTTGAACTATAACAATTTAGCGTATAAGCTCGACACGTTAACATCTATTGCACATTGACACGAGTGCCTTTGGGTCACAGGACATAAATGAACTTCAAGAAAGTTCAAGCATTTTCTATATCACGTTCTGTGTTGCGGTTGTCGAAAAAGCAAACTTATATTTGCTATAGCAATCAACATTACTTTTTTCGTTGAATGAGTAGGCCGAGGGAAAGCAAGGCTATGTGAAATTCAATGAAAAAGTCAGCTCTACTCATATCATTGTGGGAAAATTCTACTACCAGTCCTTCATCACATTAAACGAAATAGGGTGAATACATCTTATATTACTGAATTACTGGTTGTCTCGAATCTCTACTTAAATACGAAAAATAAGTAACGTAGTCGTTTGTTATAACAGAAATATGCTTGCTTCATCGACCAAAGAATGCGATATGGAAAAAGGCCTGGCCTGGTTCCGCTCCTGCTAGTCGTGTTGATAAGACCTATGCGACGTCGAGGCTGCAATCCATCCTGGATGAGAACAACTTTTGGGAAAGCAATGCCATGTTAAAATGGGAAAATTCTACTACCAGTCCTTCATCACCTTAAACTCATGACATAGATAATTCCTTAAAATTCACATCTGCCATGTTACCCAAAGGCACTCGTGGAAATGTGGCGTAGTGGTTAACGTGTCGAGCTTACACTATACACTGTCATGGTTTGACTCCCGCAGTTTCAACCTAGGCGATGTCGAAGCTGCAGTACAACCTGGATGAGAACAACTCTATGTGAAATCCAATGGAAACGTCAGATCTACTCATATCATTATGAGAAAATTCAAATACCAGTCCTTCGTCACCTTAAACGAAGTAGCGTGAAAACAATTAATAACTCTCCAGCAATGCCATCTCAGGTGATTAATCGAAACCCAATTACTCTTCGTATCTACGATGATTATATTGAATATGTAGATGTTGAATGTAAGAAATAAGAACGGCCAGGCAGACACTTGTGCAAGCAAGGCTGCAAGTATCAGGCTATAAGGTGATGATGTTAGGGAAGAAGAAAATGAAGAGTGCGAGTGGGCTGAAGAGGAAAACATAGTGCGAAAGCAGTCTCGGCAAAGCGCCTCGGGCCAGCGAACACCTGCTGGTTCTGCTGCTATTCCATGTGTTCGGGACGAGGAAGAAATGGGGGGTCTGGATTATATGCAAGAAAGTAGTGTTATTGGTGATTATAGAAGCGGCGGTGACTGCGATGTCTTTACCCAGACGAGTGGCGACAGCTCAGGCTCCGTTGAACTGAAAATTTCAAATCAAAGCGACAGTGTTATCTTAATGGTTATCGATATATAGCCAACAGTGTGTCCTCATCTGGGCTTGCAGCAGCCTCATCTTCAACAAAAATTACATAATCAACATAAACGACACCAATTGAGTCTACAGCAATACCCACAGAAATAAATTAGTTGCTCTCAGACTATAAGCCAACCTCGATCACGACACCAGCAGAGATAACCTATCTAGCACCAAGTCAGCCTATGCATCTTTTCGCTCACTTATTGTATCCAGGCCACCCAATAAGGTTATCATATTCCTTCTTTGGACTGCTTTACAATTTCACCAATCCATCATAATCTCATTGCCCTAAGTTTCTATTTACGACCCTTTATTCCCCATCATTATAGCACTCATTCTGAGAATAGGATGACCTAATTTTGAATATAAGGAATTCGAAAAAGGTCATGATGAATTTACATAAGCCAACAGATGGAGGAGAATTCATGCATCACACTCTCAATTAAAATTACTTTATTTTCGTCTGATTACTTTTCTCTACTATCAATTTGTCCCATCTGCTCTGCATATGTGTATTAGGATTTTTGGTCGGCGATATGCTGCAAGATTCTAAATTCTTTCCTTTGAGGGTATTCTCACACGTGAGTACACAGGTTCTTTGTCACATTTTCGCATATAGGCCTAGAAAAAGCCATCAAGTCTGATTAAGCTCACCCTATTATTTGGGCTTCATCTTCTCCCTTCCTATCTTAGATCATGCCCATTACACAATAGCGCATGCTATTTCCTGAGTCAAGCCCTCTCAAAAGCAAAAGGTTGCATGAGCGTGATAAGGCCCATGGGACATTTGCAAGAAGTTAGTAACACTTCGGGATCTACGCGTAAATTCCGACTTCCAATCCAGCGATCAAATTCTTCTCTTTATCAAACTTGGAATTCAAGTGTAACGGCTGTTTCGTCGGATCAACACACTACCATCTTCTTATGGTCAACCATCTTATTTCTTGACAATGAACATGGAAAATGGAAGACAAATGGAATGCATTTGAGTATGTGAGGCTTGCTTCTGTTTTTACCAGATCTTATGTGGAACAGCCTCTAAATAGCTGTGGTATGCTTTACCAGTGTCCCTTTTCCTTTATCTTACTCACAGCTTTTAATATTCCCCCGAACATGTACACAGGTTTTGCATTTTACAAAGCCCCTTAACTCCATGTGACTTCCTATTCTTAAATACTCCCAAAAGAAAATGTGCCATTCGAGTCAGTTAGCTATTTTTAGCGGCGGCTCAATTGTACTGAAAATTCCACAAACACAGCGAAGAAACTTGAAGCAGAAGAAATGCGAAGAATGTAAGAGCCAGCTGGCTTAATCAATAATAATTTCTCTGTTGTATAGTCCTTAATTTGGCCATATTTCCCTCATACTCCCCGATTTCGTGGTGCTTTTGGCGTTTCATTTATCTTCAAATTCTTGACTCATCATGACGGTTCAGCCAGTGCAATGTATTTCATTACTGCTATTCAAATCTACTAATTTCTTTCCAACTTGTGGAAACTGACTCTTTTATGATGGGAAGAGCCTCTTAAATAGCAATTTTTTCCTTATTCTTTTCCCTACATTCTTGTTTCTACGACGGAAGATAACCTTGGAATTTCCTATCTTCAGCATTCACTTTCCATCCACCCAAAGTATCAATATGCTTCTATAATTGTCCGATGATGGGCATCTGATAGCATATTTACTCCTCACTTGAGTTCCACCCTGTTTCATGCTAAGATATAACTACACCAACTTCTGCATATTTGACTTCTTATTCTTCTTCAATAGGCGAGGCCATTGAATTAA